TTTTTTTTTTTTTGTCTGTAGAGTGGACGAAGTGAGACAATAACGAACATTAAGGAAACAGTTGCATGCATGGAAAGATAATATTGTGCTTTAAAGCGCGCAACGCGTCTTCGAGGGTCTCGAACAGATTGTCATGAGCAGGTGATTTCGTTGAGAGACTATTAGGAAAGATAGGACGTCAGAGAAGCTAGAGCGATGTATATAGAAGCTAATGAGCAAGTTTCTTACAGAGAGAGGCACTATAGGCTATAGTCTATTTTTCGAAGAATAAACCTCTTTTGTTTGAACAGAAAAAGGGACATTTTTATAGTTTGTCGATAGTAGTTTGTTGGCGGTAGATTCAGATAGGGTTTTAATTATTTTTATTTTTTTTAAACATGGGTAACTGGCTGCTCTTCCTCTACTGCTTCTTCTCCTTCCTCTACATCTGAAACTCTCGGATGGTTTTTCGACCGCTGTTATTCTAGGACCTGTTTATTATACCCAGTTGATTCGGTGCTTTTGCTGCTTAGATTGTTTCGCACCGTTATTGTTTTGTTACGTACAAGTTCTTCCTGATTGGAAGAAGACGTATTTTTTGCACAACAATTTGCGCATGAAGATCTTTTGGGAAAGTGAAAACTGGCCAGGAGCCACTATTGAACCTGGTATTACATCGTTAAGCTGGGTACCTTCGGCGGATAAACCTGGTTGTGGTCTTCTAGCAGCGGGTTAGCTTTTCTTTTATTCATTCTCACTTTTACATTTTTATTTTTTTGCACCGTTTTTTTCTTTATTTTTTATTATTTTTTTCTTTTACTGGTTCGTTGAAGGGTGTGCAACTTGTTGCTTGTAGCACTGTGATATTTTAATACGTTCATTTTTTTCACTGGTTTGTTTTTTTAGAGAATGATTATTTATTACATTTGTGCTAGTCTGCGTCGTATCGCGAACTTTTGAGGCTGAAACCTTACTCTTTACCTGGGTTTACAATTTTGAAGATCGATAGGAATTGGGGGCAAAAAAGTTTGTTTCACATGCGCATCGAAAAATTAATTACTGCTGATTAGCGGAAGAAAGGAACCTACGATTCTGTACAGCTGCGCTTGAGTGATGTAGCTTTTTTTACTAACGACTATTTCTAGCGAGTTTCAATTTATTTGTTAATTTGTGCTTTTATTAGGCTTAGGAGGCAAATATTCATTAATATAAGTTTAGGGAGATAATTGGGAATTTGCAGTCTAACAAATTACATTAATTGATTGACATTAAACTTTAGCATGGCGTTAAAATTTTTGTAGAATCAGAATCAACACAAATAGAAGGCATAGTTCAGCTGGAAAAGTGTGTTATTTTTCGTGTAATTTTTTTTATTTTTTAAGCTCAAGTATCATCTTGGCTATTCGTTGTTTTTTTTTTGTCTTTTCTTTACTGAGAATAATAGTGACGCGTACACGGTGAAAATTTTTGAAGTGCTAGAAAAAACTTTAAATTTCTGTCTTTAACACTAACACTTTGTATATTTTGGCCTAGAAATGTTATATTATTTCTTGTATGATTTTACATATTTTCAACATACTCACTTTTTTTACTGCAAAAAGCATATTTTTTTCTTATGTATGGGTCAGACTTTTATTTTTTGCTAAGATTTCTGTACTTACTTATTACATACGAGTAAAAACTTCCACTTCAGGGAGAATAAACTTTTGGACGGCTCAAGACCGCCAGATTCTATTAAGAGTGAGGTTTACAAACTTTAACAGATTCCTTTACATTAAGCTAAAACTTTTTTCTCATTTCGTCGCAGTTTATCTTTGTACCTAATATGTGTTTCAAAATAGGTTACTTCTGACTAAAATCTTCTATTCAGTTTCCGTTTTTTAACAGTTTTCCAGCAGAATCAGAACTTTAATTTTGTGGAAGTGTAGAACTACTCAGTTCCTAATTTTTTAATTGTAAAGCTCAAAATTAGCAACGTTTTTGGGATCTTGCGTTTTTTCGTCGAAAAAATGTAGTTCTGTTTTTATTAACTTCAGTCCCTTGGTTTTTATAAGTTTATTTGCAAGTTGGGTGAAGGGGGAGTCAGTTTTAATTGCATGAAGTAATTTAGGGATCGCTACAATCACAGCATTGATTCTTCTCTCCCTGTTGGAATTTTAATTTTCCTGAACCGTATAACTGAGTTTTACTGTAGGTATTTCCATCAGTGATTTGGTATGGCAGTAAATCGTTAGGTCATACTAAGTTTGATAAATGCAGAGGACTTAGCTAAGGAATAACTAATGGCAAGAAGTATGTTCTTTTAGGTGTTTAAAAAAGAAAGCGCTTCTAAAGAAACGTAGTGAAAAACTGTAAGGAATTTAAAAAGTGGGATTTGCTCAAGAAATAAGTGATTGAAAATCAATAAAATATAGGTTATTTGAGCATCGCTTTATATTGACGGGCGGAAGCAGCAGATTATTGGAATGAAATTTTTATTTCTATCCAGCACTTTACTTTGCTTTTGTGATGTCTTTTTCTTAAAATTTTACCTTTTTTCAACAACACTTTTTTTTTTTAAAATGACTTATAGAAATTTAGGTTCCGAATCAGGATCAGTTGGTATCACGGCAACCGCTGTTTATCCTGAAAATGATGACTTTAAACGAATTAATTTTAACTTGCGGGGGCACCATAGTGCTGTTAGCATCGTAGCCTGGAATCTCGAACAAACTAAACTCGCGAGCTGTGATTTATCTGGCATAATTTACGTGTGGGTACCAAATGAAGAAAGGTGGAGCGTTGAGCTTGTAAATGATCGAGGCATAAAAGTAATTTTTTTTATTTCTCATCTTGTTTTTGGTTTCACCGCTATCTACCAGTTTTTTTTTACATCAGTTCGATCGATTGATTACTTTTTCTTCTAGATTATTATATGTTGAAAAATATATTGGTCTCTTGTACCTTTTAACTGATATAGGTCCGAGATGTTAGTTGGAGCCCTTGCGGAACTTCTGCATTAATTTGTTATGACGATAACTTTGTTCTGATTGGATCATCGACTGGTCAGCGAATTTGGTCATTTTCATTCCCGGTTACAGTCATTTGTGGAGTTTGGGCTCCAGACTCTCGTGAACTAATTCTTGGATTTACTACAGGGAAAATCCAAGTGCTTTCTGAACAAGGTTTGGATATATTCTTTTACTTGAGGAACAACGGTGATTTAGAGCGGTCTTTGCTATTTTTTTGCAATGGTTTAATATGTCTGGACATTTCTGCAGGGCGCTGGTTATTGCAAACATGCTGTGGAATTTTGATTTATTTTTTTATTTATTTGACTCGGGCCTAGTTTAGAGCTGTGTTCGTTGTTTCAAGCTATATATATATATATATATATATATATATATATATAT